ACCAAGAAGAACGGTGCCAAAAGACCGAATTAAAGTGGAGGATTTTATCAGTAATTTCAACCTACCATTCGTCACTATCTTGTAGGAGGAATTCTAGCTCACTTTCTGTGGTAAATCTTAGTTGGTAATCTGTGGAATATTCTATCACCCTGTCTGACCTAACTTTTACCATCAAGTCTAAGCTATATTTCTTGGTCATTCTTGGTTATATCTTCTAGGTCATGTCTAATGGTATATTCGCAATGCGCCCAGTCAATTCAATTAGAGACATCGAGGCCAGCAAAATCTTCAAGCTTGGACGAAGAAACGCACGAGCGATGAAGCGTGTGTAAGCTGAAACTCTGTCTCACTTCCCCCGAGGCTGACTAAACATGTTTACCTCATTCTCCGTAAGCATAGGAGGGACCTTTGGGATGCACTGGCTCTCATGTAGGGTGCCTATGTACTTTCGTTTCTCAGCATCTGTCGGCGCGCGATTCTGTCCATGCTGGGTGCTGCTGACAGGGGGACCTGGGGTAATGTTGGGCGGGATGGACCGGCAGAGCCGACTCCGGCTTCCAACTGTTCGAGAATGTTTTCTAAGGACACGTATGGAGATTGCAGGGGGCAGAGGAGGTTCGCGTGGCCCTGCGTCCTAGTGCAGCAGGCAGCGAGTAGCACCGGCGTGCGACATTGCTTCTGCCAGCCACAGCCTATTACTCTTTCTGGCGAGTACTCAGTGCTTGTATGCCGGCGGTGCATGCAGGTGTCAGTTCAGAAGTATGCTGGACTTGAGCCAATCGAGGCGTCCAAGAGACCCGGGGCCCTACCAGGGGGCACGGAATCGCCATCGCTCAGCATCACCTCCATGAGCTTTTCGGCCTGGCTGGGGTCTCTTTCTTCTGGCGGAGTCGGGAGCACCCCGGGCACTCCGAGCCCCAAGCGCTGGAAGGGGCCGCTGCGGGGCCGACGCTGGCGGCCAACTGAGCACTAAAACAACGGGCCCTCTTAGCGGGCCCCACTCTTCGTCCCCACAAAGTTTCCCCAACCGTCTTCTCGCCTGGCACGCCTTCGCACGCATGGACCAGTCCTTGCTCTGGAGTCCCTGGGCAAACGAATGGCTGACGGACTTTCGCAGAAGTGGGACGAGGGGGTCTTTCTACAAAAGCTCCTTTCTTGCTGAGCGTGCTGTCAGGCTGTGGGACGGTCCTCGAAAGCATGGGCTTTGCCATGTTCGGAACCACTGGTTCCGGTGACGCAGGAGCCCTCCGTCAATTCTTCAGACTGAGAACTTTCCAGCGGCCTGCAGGCACACTTTCGGCGGGAATGCTGTGGACAAATCCAAATCAGAGGGAAGGAGAGACAAAGAGAGAGTGAGACAAAGGCAGAGGAAGAGCGGAAGAGAAGGAAATTTGGAACAACGCGTGCTGCAATGTTATGCATGGAGGCATGTAGACAGACATGACAATGTGCACGCGCATGCCCGAGCCGTTTGCCAGCCTCGTGCCGAGAAAATCCGGAGCAGGCCGAGAACAAGCTGCGTGCCGAAGAACCCTTGCATGCAAGGGCTTGACTATTGCCGTTCTGGGCTCATTTCGGGAGTCGCCGGTCTCTTCGAGCTCACAGTCGTACCAAGAAAAAATCCCACACCAGACACAGAGGGCGCTGATGACAACCCCAAGCCTTGACCTGCCTTGCTACGCCTGCAGCCACTTGCACGCACCTGGCTTTTTCAACGAGTGCGACTGCCGCTCTGTGCCAAGCTCAGGAGCAAGCCCCCCAAGCTTGTGTCTAGAAATCAAGGGGCCGCCGATGCTCAAACCAGCACCGTAAGGGCCACATAGGGCGCACACTCCTTGCAGGCAAGCTCAGGTGAGACCTCGGCGCAGCATGTCCCAAAACCCTGTTTGCTGGAGACTGGCCGGACTCTCGCAGGACGCTCCGAGGATCACACGTTCCACTTGTCATGCCATTGGTCTCCGTAGTACTGCTGGTACTCTGCCATGCTGTACACCTCATCCCCCAAGACCCTTTCTGACACCCTTGCCCCGACCCCGAAACTGCCCGAAATGTTCTCCTCCTCCAACCCTCCTTGCACGGCCTTGCCGTCCTCGGCGAGGCGGCGCTGAGTTGCCTCTGGACTGCCCTTGTACATGGGCTCCCAGGTGCTGGGAAAGTGCCTCCAAGCTCAGCTTTTCTGGGTTTCGGTGCTACTCGGAGAAGTTTTGGGTTCAGGGTTTCGAGCTATGGAAACTTCCGAAAGGTTGAGTGTTTCAGGTTCAGGGCTTCCGCACGTAGGGTTGGGGGTTCAGGCTTATGACTCTGCTCTATTCTTGCTGAGGGCTCGCGCCTTGAGAATTGGTTGGCCGTGTAGGCTCGCCTGTCGTTGGAGATCTTCTTCTCCAGCGGGCTGTCCAACCACTGGTTCAGCCAGCCACCTCACAATCAGTGTGTGTGTGTGTGTGTGTGTATGTATATATATATATATATAATATATATACATACATACATCTACATTTTCTTTATTTATTTATTTACACATATAAGTATATACCCACACATAACTAGGCATATATATATATATATATTATAGTATATACATACAGTTACATATACATATATACATATGTGAGTGTGTGCGTGCATGCATGTATGCTCCCGTGCCTTCTCCATAGTGCTGGAGGAACTCGCTTGCGGTGTAAGGCTTGGCATCCAGGGCATAGCGTCGCACCAGACCTTCCGGAAAGAAAACCCCACGCCTTAACGAACTAACCAACATCTCCACAAAAATCCCAAACATCTCTCTTTCTTTCGCCAGGTTTGTGGTGAGGGGGGGTTCCCCCTTCACTGCATCTCTCTCTCTCGAAGATCTCGGGCCTGCAAGATCTTGGACGACCGCCTCCTTCGAGGCTTCCGCGATGGCCACGGGCTGGCCCCGCTTCGCGTTGGCGAGGTACGTGGTCTATTGGGGAAAGCGGGAGCAGCCGGAACGGCTCAAGCCAAACTCAAACACGCAAGCCCAGGCTGTTGCAAGACTCGCGACTGCCCATGGCATTAAAACACTCAACGACACCCAGGAGCCTTGAATTGGCCCGCATTTGCTCCAGCTTGAGCAAGCTGGATAGACGTAGTCTGAGCCAGGGACTTGGCGAAGCCAAGTCCGGAATAGCCATACATCACCTCTGGATCAATATTAGAAACCGTGTGAACCTGCAACGGATTTCACTACACCTGATACTGTTTAGTTTGCCAGCACTTCTATACTCCTTGCCTTGTAGAGCTCCCTCAGCTGGTCGGGCTCCGCCTGCCCAAGAGCTCGCGGATTTTGCTTCGGAATCTTCGGGCAGAGGAATCTCAAATGCTGCTGGGGATGCTGTGCTTCAGTCTTGTTTGGGGCCAAAGTGAGGTGACAGGCTTGGGATACCAGTCTGCGTGACCACTCACCACCTCCCGTTCCACGTGTCCATTGCACTACACTACTACACCAACACGAGAGCGTTACCTTTGTTCTGTTGCTCGCGGACGGCGGCTGGCAGGTGGCTTGGGCTTTGGCCCGCGTCCACCTTCTTCAAGGCCAGGAGGTGCATCATGGTTTGTGCCTGGTCCTTCGGGAGGCTAAGGCCACCACCCCTCAGAGGTCTCCGAAGCACGAAGAGATTCACGAGTGCCACCGCAGGAAACCAGCCAAACTCTTTGCCGCTGCAGACAAAGGCACAGCGTGTAGGAAGCCGACAGGGCCCAGTAGAGTTGCTGCAACTTCTCGCCGGCCACGTGCTGCTCCGCCAGGAGGATGATCTGAGAACGGATCTCCGGCAAGGGCAGATCGATCGAGCCTTTGTCTGACAGGGTGTCCTGAGATGTCCAAAAGAGCTTGTGCCAAATTGTTGGGACAACTGGAGCATTTAGCAGTGACTGCGTGGCTTCGAACACGTCTGTCAAGTCCTTCAACGACTGGAGATTTCGGATTTCCACTCCACACTGGGCAAGCGCGTTCCAATGCCTGACCATCTCTCATGGCGCTCCAACAGTGGCTACAAGTAGCTGCCGTCTTTTCACTGGGGGACAGGCTGGTTGGCCGCATCAGCTGCCTCACTCGCGGTCATTGCCAGGCCGTTCGAAGACGCGAGCCTGGGCTGAGGCCCTCGTCTCTCACAGAGCGCTCTCCCCCCATTTCTTCCGAAGGCCAACGTTGCAACCGGACCACCAATCCTCCAGCTCCTTCGGTTGCAAAGCCCATGCTGGCAGGACAAGCAGCACCCAGGTCCTCAGATCGCAGAACACATCCCGTTGTAATTACTGCGCTAGGTCGCAACATTCCACTGCAAACGACGGTCTGCAGAGAGCAAGCCAAGTGACTTGAAACCCATGGCAACGTAATGCACGAAACAATCTGACTAGTGATACAGGCTCGTGCCTGAGCTTAAAACGGCTGCACTCCATCGGTCGATGAAGGCCGGAAAGCCCCGAATCCCAGCATGCTCTTTAAACCAAGTAAACAGGGCAGGAGGGCCAATGAGTCCCAACCATAGACTCCTCGGCGTTTCGCGACAGACAAAGACAAAGGGAAAGGGAAACAAAGGATCAAAGGTAGCCAAGGTTCACCAGAGCACCACGAGGATCCGAGCCTGAACTCCAGAACATCCCTCAGTCCCCCCTCCCCGCTCTCCCGATCTCCTTTCCTTCAGAGCTTTCCAGGATCCGAGCCTCCACTGAACCTGCAGAGCGCTTGCCCCAGGAAGCTGGCGATCCAGAGGATGTACGCGGAGCAGAGCCAATCCTGGAAAGTCTCTTGAATACGTCTGAACAGAGCGCGAGAGAGAGAGAGAGAGAGGGAGAGAGAGAGAGAGAGAGAGAGACGGATAGAGAGACGCACGTACTGTGGAAAGATCTGCGGTCACCCACTGGCACCGGTGCGTGGGCCAAGCTTCCAGGGCTCCCATGAGAGCACCATTGGTCGGATAGGCCATGGCTTTCACGGCCTGCGCCACCAGCACCCACGGCATCACCGCGCCGGCCAAAGCCTGATCAGAAGACTCGCGTGACCGCTGCAATGCTCGTATCCGCTCCCGGTTCGTTCGCTGGGCCTGGACCTGGCCAGAGCTGGTGAGGAAGCGCAGGACGTTGTCCTCACTGAATTAGTGCAAGACGAGGGCTGCAAAATCGAGAATCCCAGAGGCTCCTTCGCCACGAAGGTCACAAGGCCCAGGGCGGCACTCAGCATCAGGCCCGCCTCTGCCGGGCACAGGTCGCGAGATGCGAGGACGTGAAGACTTGGTACGAGAACGCTCTACCTCGAAACCCTGTGACGAAGAGAACTGTAGGCAAGATGTGCTGTTTCCGAAGGAGCGCTTTCAATTCTCGACGCCGAGGGCCGTCGGCCACGTTTCGGCCTTCCGCCTCTCAGGCATCGCCTGCTGGAATGCTTGCCAGCTTGGCGTGAATATCACGTACTATCGCGGCATTGTGACTGTCGATCTCGAAGATCCGCAGGGCCTGGCGAAGGCAGCTTTCGGCTTCCTCATTCTTCCCAAGGACCAGGTGCACGGATCCGAGGGCTTTCAGCGTCCGGGCAACTTGTGAGGACTGCGAGCCATGGAGCCTTCGTTCCAGGTAGTGCACGTCGTTCAGGTACTGCAGCGCCTCTTCATGTCGACCGAGCTTGATGTAGAGGAGGGCCATGTCACGCTTCACATCTACAACTTGGGGATCTTCCTCACCAAGGTGTTCTGCAGCGCTCTCTGCCACCTGCAATGCTTCCAATGCTTCTGCCTCCCGCTTGTCAGCCTCAAGCCAGCCAGCCACTTGGCAGCTACACTTGATGAGCAAGGCCGTCTTCTGCGGCTCTTCATGCTGAAGGATTGACACGACGGCCTGCACTGTTTCCACGGCTGCCTCCAACCTGTTGGCTGATCTTTCAGCCTCCGCGACCTGCATTCTGATTCTAAGAGTGGGCTCTGCGGCCTTGCCATCAACATGATCATGCACCTCCCAGGCTTCAGAGAGATGATCGATCGCTTTCTCGAAGTCTCCCTTCTGGGAGGCTACCTGACCAAGCAGAAGATGCACATGTGCGGCTTCTTCATCAAGCTCTCCTCGCGTCTCACGGCCCAAACGTGCAGCTTCCATCAGCGTCTTCCCTGCTGCCTCCAGCTGCCCCTGTGCAAGCTGAACCGACCCCTCAGCCACCAACAGATCTGCCTGCAGTCGCAGGTGCTGCCGATCATCATAGATCCCACCATTGCAGACCTCGCGCGCCTGACTTAGGTGCTCCCGGGCTTGCAAGAAGTAACCTCCCTGCCCGTAGGCCTCGGCCAGGGCAGCCTGAGCCTGGATGAGGGGCTTCAAAGGGAACTGATGCAGATGCGCCAGGACTCGTTGCAGCGTGAGCTGCTTGATGCGGCACTCGATCACCGCGTCGGCATCCCCCTCGTTTTGAAGCTGCTTGGCTTTCTCGGACAAAATGCTCAGCTGCTCCAGAGGGTGCAGGCTCTCGTCGACCAGCTCTGCGGCTGCGGACTCGAAGGGCTTACATCGCATGGCTAAGGCTAGGAGCGCACAGGAGGCTTGTTGTCTACCGGGGACATGCACACTCCGTTGAACTTCAGAACACCCCTTGCTTCCTTTATGGCTAGGCTGCTCCGCTCTGAAGGGCTTGGCAGCTTCTTCGGCACATCCTGTCTTTTGGCCCATGGAGTTCGAGCAAGTCTCAGGGCACGTCTGTGTCCTCATCCAAGAGAGGACCCGAGCCAAATGTCCCAGCTATTGGCTTCTTGCATGCCTGATCTCATGCTTCTGTCCACTGAAACGTGGTGCTTTTGGCTACATCCTCTCGACTCGCTGCCCTCGTGAGCTAACATCAACGCCTCCACGACAGTTCTGCGAGCTTTGCGATTCCAGCAAAACAGTTCTAAGGATCCAGGCAGCAGCTGGAATGAGCAAGAGTCACTTGTCGTCGATAACCGAAACTCTGGCTACCCTCGGCAATCACACAATTAAGGCACATACTCACATGTTCTACAGTGACAGAAAGGAGGTCAGGCGTCCACTGACGGTTGTAACAAAAGAGGAGTATTCCGCGAAGTCTTGCCGGCAATGGCATAACAGGTACCTCAAAAACTTAGCATCGTGCTGTCGTAACAGCAAGAGGTCACGAAACACTACTGTCACTGGATCAAGCAACAGCAACGGCACGAGTAAGATTGGACCTCGATAGCACTTGCAAGCGCCATTCAGTACCCTTGGTTTTTCCGTCATGCAATCGCTAGATCGGTGTGGCCGATGCCTGCAAGCCCCGCAGAACCACCTGCCGAGCAGATCTCGAAGTAGACCTCCGATAAGCAACAGCTTCTCAGCAGTGCTCACAGACTCACAGACTCACAGACTCGCGTGCAGGCGAATGGCAGGGGCGCGAAGGAGCCGTCATCGCGCAAAGCCTGGGCCAGCAGAACCTGTGTCGACGTCGCCAGCGACTCTGCTACCTTTGGGAACAGGATGAGGAGTGCTCGATCGGAGGGTTTGAGACTTGATCCTGCCTGAGAGGTGGCAAAGCCGAGCTGAAAGGTGAGGCTGTAGGCAGCACTTACGATGGCTCCTTGCTGCGCGGCATGCCTGAAAGAGCACACATCCATTGTCGCTTGACAATCTCAAAAAAGTCGAAAGCTCTCAGCTCTGAGATATCGTGTTTTACATGGGAGCACCTGGCGAGGAAAGTGAAGCAGAAGACTTTGCCCCAATTCCTCACGATCATCACCTGTGGCGTGCAAGGTTGCCAAGCCACCAACGCTCTGTGCAGCTCCTCTGAAGCTTCCTTGCGGCCCGGGGGCGCCCGCGGTGGTGACGAAGCGCCGGAGTGCCGCCGAGATGCTGGCCCATCGCGGAGCCCTGCTACGGTATACAAGTCACGAACAAGCATGCAGCCGTTTAGGCCAAATTGCCGCCTTGACCCGCTGAAGAGGGCCCGCAGCTTCCAGGCGATGCAAATGACGCCGGCAAACTGCGCAGCAACCTCAGCCAGTGGAGTGAAACGCCGGGCGAGAAGTGAATCCCGCACCGGGATGAGCAACCAAGTAGCCGTGGCCACGGCCGCACCGGCACAGCCCCAGCCGAGGGCGAATATCAGCAGTGGGTCCAGGAACACGTTCACAGCAGTGGCCAGCGCGGAGGCTACCATTGGCGTCCTGCACGAGATGATGGATTTGGCATCGGTGTGCGGTAACTTCTTCCGACTGTATGCTAACGACGGCAGAGTTTGGCAGAGTCGCATAAAAAGCTGAGGCATGCTGAGGCTATGTGGACACTCGCAGCAATGGCACATCATCAGCAGAAAAACGAGCAGCGCCAGTCTGTCACGAGTCACAAACAAAAACATGCAAAAACCACGTCCGCCTGGCATCGCCCAAACCGCGGCAGATGCCCGTGAGAGCCAGCAGCATTGAGCCTGAGGATACGCACCGTTCACAATTCCAACCCTGCTCCACCATTGTTCAAGCCACCGAAGGGTGCACCCAGCGCCCTGAAGCGTAGGTAGGCCACCGCTGGCCCGAACATCGACGAGGTTGGATCCACGCCTTTGCTGCAAGACTTGGCTGGAAATACAAAGCAGAGCACCACAGTCACCACAGAAATCTCCCTTTCAAGCCATGGAACCCATGCCCTGGATGGCAATGCCTGTGGCCACTCCAAATGTTGCCACCTCGGCTTGGCTTCGCTCCCATCACATGTTTCCTGGCGCTCCTGATGCCGCGGGCCTGCACGAAGCCCAGGAGAAGCGCCAACAAGACCACTGCAGACACTGCCTGCCGACAGAACCCGGAGCAATGGTCAATGCCCAGGCTGCCCTGTCCATGCCCCACGCCTCTCGCCGATCCTTCGGATCAAACACCAAGTCCAAGTCAAAGTCTTGACGAGGCGCTTTGGGGCAGGTCCTCGGGGGGCGTGGTCGCCACCAGAGACACAGTCACCCGCAGCAGTGGGTCCTGCCGCACGAGCAGAGATGGAGCCATGACAGAGCCAAAACAAAAAGCGAGATGCAGTCTTCGAAGCAAGCATGGCAGTCATTGAAGGTCTTCGTCAGGGAGTACTGGGCGGAGACGGCGACACCCATTCCTACAATCTACAATCGAAGGTTGTACCTAGTCTTTGGGCAGTGCTTCTTCCGAATTCGTTTGCCTCCCAATGCGGCCACACCCAAACGTCCGCAGCATGCAGTGTCAACAACAGTCGCCAAGGGCTCTGTCAGAAGCTGCGCGAAGGCCTCGCAGGGAGGGTGGGCTGGGCTTATGTGGTGACCTGCTCTTTTCCATGTATGAAAGCACAGGTTGGGCACGATTGGGCATGGCCCGGCCGGCAGGGCAATGCCGACGAAGCGCCGGTCCAGCTGCCAACGGGCTTCGGCCACGGCATCGTCGGTATCACGGACCTTTTCCTCTGCACGAAGCGCCAGTGACCTGGCCAAAAAGTTCCGGCAAGTCCACCTCAACCGTCCCGTGTGTTTCTTGCTGGCTGCCTCCCTCGACCAGGAAAGGCCGCAAGCAGTGCCAGTGCTTTGGGCACCGCAGAGAGGGAACCACTTCGCTCCTCCAGCATGACAAGAGAAATTCCGCATTCCCCAGGTTTTGGTCCCGGCCTGGTCTTGCGCTCGCGGTGCCGGCTTCTTTGGCTCGGCAGCGCGGATGAGGGGCGTCGCGCGGATCCTGGAAGCCGCCGGGGCCGCCTGCATGCCCTTGAGACCCAGGGTGGGGGTAGGTGTGGTTTACAACTCTTACCGCTACCTGCTACACCGCTACGCATTCTGCACATTCTGCACATTTGCAGGCTGACTGAGCCGACGGCTAGAAGACGGTGTGGCCACACAACGAAGGGATAGTCATACCACGCAAGCAGCATTGAGGCATGTGCGCGTTCAATGAAGTCCAGCTGCCCATCCTGAGTGCCACTAGTGATCTCGAGATGTCGCAGCCCTTGGTGCAAGAAGTAGTGGAAGCCCTTCCAATTCCAGAAAGCCAGTTTTGCAGCGCACCGATGCGCCCGCACCAGCTTGGTCAAGTGGTTGCGAAAGGGACAGGAGTTCGACGATCTACAAGAGTGATGCTCGTGCAAGTGGTCTTGCACAGCTACACTCCCTTCTACCAGCTTTCTTCCTTGTCTCCCTCTACAGCCAAGTACAAACTCGGGGGTCTTCGGTCGTGTGCTGAAGACTGCTCGCGGCTGGGTGATTCGAAATTTGTCTACGGCTATCTTCACTCTCAGTCCAACGTGCGAACACCACGCTTGAATCGACCTGTCAGATGTTAAACGCCGAGTGCTTTTTTTGGCACATGCGAAGCAGCAGCATGCTGCCACGCTTCCAGCCTCTGCTGACAGACCGTCGCCTTTCGCGGCCTCGGCGCGCAGAGGTAAAGCAAGGACCGGCGCATCCTCTCCCTCTCTTCTGCCTGCCTCGGCTGGAACGGCTGCGAGCCCTGGGCCAAGCGGGGGCTAAGCGCACGCTCTCGGCTCTAGCGACTCGAAAACCTCCGAGAGCTCTCCGACCTCCCGAGACATGCGCTGCCTTTTCCAGATGAATCTCAGCACCTCTGCTAGTCGTGCCGGCTCTGACTCACAGAGCGGACTCGGGTGGGAGAGGCGGCACAGAGGCAGGGGTTCGCCGAAAAGCACCGAGCTCAGCCAGGTCTTGAGGCTGATGGGGCTCAGCAGAAAGGCCCCTTTGAGAGCCCTCGAAAGGCCAGCCGCTGGGCCTTCGGCACCGACCGGCTCTAGCAGGGTCAGGGACAGCGTGCTCTGGGAAGGTCTTGGTTCGGCCTCCAGCTCGAGCACTTGGAGCATGAGGCGCCGGGCCCTGGGTTCCAGGGCGACGAGGCAAGACGGCTGATGGTTACAGAGGGATACCAGCAGGCCGAGGCTGTAGTGGGCAAGCAGCACCAAGAGCCAGGAGCATGTAAAGCAGCTGTAGAACATGAAGAGCGAAGGCAAGAGGAAAACCACAATTGACAGCAGGATGACTCCGATGAGCAACTGATCCAAGTCGAAGTTGTGGTGGTCAATCCGAGATCGAAGGATATTGTGCTTCCAACCCTGAAACAGCAAGCTCAACGTGTAGAGAGAGCGTGTGGCCATCTTCCAGCACAAGCAGGTTCCCAGGTAAGCCACGAAGAGGGGTAGCGAGGCTATGGCGATCAAATCCATGACGCAAGCCACCAGGCCTGACAAGCCCAGAGAGAACCCAAAAATGATCAGAACAGAGTCGAAAGACCGGACGTAGTGGAGCGCCCACAGCATCCGGATAGCACCAGAAGCGGCCAACAGCAGCTGTAATACCCAGCGGCCCCACAAAGAGAACATGGAGAGGAAGAGGTGTCCCGCGAATGAGGTCAGCTGTCGGTTCAGCTTGAAATCTGCAGGCGCGCCCATGAGCCAGGTCACCAGGCTCACTAGCTTTACCTCGTAGGCCCACTGATGAAGCCTTGCAGGCGCCAGCATGTCGCCACCGAACCATGAGAAGCCGCTGACGACCAAGGCACCCAGAAAACCATCGACCAGCGAGGAGAAGACCAAGGCAGTCAGCACAAGACGTGCACGGGCTCCGTCAGACGACGAACTTTGGCAAGCCAGCCATTGCGACTGAAGCTGCAGCCGAATTTGAAGCTGGCTAATCAGAGCACTCCGGTCCAATCGCCAGCTGAAGCAGCCAAGAAGAAGTCCACTGAAGCTGCTGCAAACAGCACAAGCGCAGGATAGCACCCAGCGGATCATGCCAGCGCCGGGCCGTTCCGCCGAGAGAGACTGAAAAGCTTCGGTGGTTTCTGACACTTCATGCGCGAGATCGAGCAAAGGCAGTACAGCTTCTAGCTGGGTTGGCACAGAAGAGGAAGCCACGGCGTCAAGCCACTTAGGGCGCACGCCGAGGACTGCTTCAGTCAAGACTCCTCGCCGTGTGGGAAGATGATACACGACGATTTGGACCGAGGTTGGCTCGGGGATCTTTGCCCCAGACACAGAAACACGTAGGGTCCCATTCTTTTCGCAATGACTGCGGAGGCAGGGCCTCCCATGCGTGCCAAGATGCTCGGCTTCAGCTCCAGCCTGGGAATCTCCGAGGATCGCGAGGCAGGACATCTCGGCGCGTCCCGAAACGGCCTTGGCCTTTTTTAGCATTGCAAGCTGAGACTCGGCTTCCGAGAGGGAGGGCCGGATGCAAGCCACGAAGGCTGCGCGTGGAGGCGGGGCCTTTCCCGCATCCTTCACTACATAGCCCTCTTCTGTGAGCCACCATCCAACCAACACTCCAGTCTGATCGGCCGGGCTGGGCCAGAAGACTCGGAAGAGCATGGCATCGGGCTACAAGAGAAAAAGGTAAGTAGATGCAACAAAAAACTATGCCTGCTGTACATGCTGTGTGTGACTCTGTGTGTATTCATGCCGCGATTAGCCGACGTGTTTCTGGTCTGCACTGAACAGATAGTCTTAACCCGGGGAGACGATCGACACTGAGCGCAGGTGTGCACGTGTGCAGGTCCACATAAGCCCAAGTTGGGCAAGGAGTTGGCCCTGTAATTGAAGCACAACGTTTATCTTGCCAAGACTGCCAAGGTTACAGTATCATCCCTCCCACTACGCCTGCGATCTCCACGTGGCGCTTGCCGGTCCTGAGCACAAGACTCGCTGATGAGGCCGTAAACCTCTTGCCAACTGGACAAGGGAACGTCTGTTGCGAGAAAGGATCAGGACAGAAACCGTCCCTGTACGTGAAAGCAGTAGAGTGGCATAAGAGCCAGGAGTACGTTGGAGAATCTACTGTGCAAACCCTGCACTCCGCACCTGGCGTGGCGACTTCCGCCGGCCAGGCGGTGTTGGTGGTGTGACGGGCCTGCGATCGCGCGCCATAAAGATCAAAAAGCCACCAGAAGCGAGGCTCGAGGCTCCGGTCTCCCACCTCCTCTTCCCCGGGTCTTGCCTCTGCTCCGTGTTCTGCATCTGCCTGCGTCCAGTGGGGCGGAACCCAATAGTTCTGAAGCTCTTCTAACCCACACGGCGCAGACGTCGCTCAGATCGGCGCGCTGCCGGCACCTGCATGGACATCCTCGGAGCGCTGCACATGCCCATGCTTGGATTTGACTTTCAGAGACCTTGAGGCAACTGCTGGCGGCCCGGGGGGGCGTCGTTGGGGCCGTGGGCGATCTCGGCCAGCAAGGACCCAGCGGGAAACGCCACGGCTAAAGACACCTGCACAGGAGCAAAAATGGAGAGAAAGCTCCGCATGTCACCTGACGCTCCCCTGCTGCCTCTGCCAATGGAGGCGCCGGTGCCGGTGCAGGTGCCGGTGCAGGTGCCGGCGCAGGTGCCGGTGCTGGTGCCGGCGGCAGTGGCGGCGGCGGTGGCGGAGGCGGCAGTGGTGGTGCTGACCGCGCCGGCGCTGGCTGCGGTGCTGACTTCACCGGCACCGGTGGCGGTGTTGACCGCGCCGACGTTGGTAGCGGTGCTGACCGCGGCGGTGGCGGCAGCTCCGGCGGCGTTTGCAGCTCCGGATGGTCTTGGTAAAAGACTGGCCGGGTCAGATTGCACTGTTCTCCGCCCAAGCAATCATGCCAGGAGTACCTCCGCGCGCATAGCCCACGCCCATGCCGCCGTCGCTCGGGGGCGTCACTGGAATGAGCAGATTCTTATCCTGTCTGCAGGACATGCAGCCGCTGCGCTCGGTCGAGTCATGTGTAGCCCACCTGAACCTGCACTAGTGGCGTCACCCTGCACATGCGATGAGAGGCGTGTGCGAAGGAAAGTGGTAAGAGAATGATTTCGGCTTGGCCTCTCCGCCTTCCGCCGCTTCGGCCGCTCCATGAACGCCTCGGAGAGATCTTTGGGCGTGGGCCTCGCAGATCAGATTGGGCGGGGGCAGTCTCTGCGGCCATCCCAGGCCCACCTGTTCTCCGAGTTCTTGTCGAGCATTCGGCGGAAGAGCTGAGGAGGGAGACGCCTTTGCTTGAAAATCTGATCTTCTACGCCGCTCTCTCCCCGAGACTCCTCTCTCTCTCTCCTGATTGACTTTTTGTGTGCAGGCTGGGCTGCAGCTCTTTGATGTCGGCGGTAATTGATACCAGCTTTTCGGACATGTCGCGGCTGTTCACCACGTCCTCCGAGAAAAAAGCGGAGGCTCTGCCTAGCTGTCTGCCTTGAGCGGAGGATTCGCGTCCTGTGTCCAGGTTCGGCCACGTAGGATCTTCAAGAGCAGCACGCCCAGAGAGAAGATGTCAAAGGAACTGCCCGGCCTGGACCCAAAAAACCCTCAAAACCCATCACAAAACCCTCAAAGCCCTCTTCAATCTACTGCTCCCTTTCATTGGGGAAGAGCTGGGAGCCCGGCTGGCCGAAGTTCCGGACCTCCTTGGTCCGCACTTCCGGCGGCGCCCAATCGAAGCGGATGCGATGGTCCTTACAGGGTTTACGCTCTCGCAACTCGGACATGCCAGGCGAGGATCCATAGTCGCGGGTCGGGTGACACAGTTTGCGGGGTCAGGGTTTCGACTATCACACTTGCGCAAGGCAGGCATGGCTTCACGACGTCCGAGATTGCTACCTAAGGCTTGACAATCTTCACGGCCGCCTTCTTTTTGCAAGCGCAGACGGCAGTCCGTCATTCTGGCCTCCCAAGAGGCCACTCTGCAGGTCGTCACGCCATCTCACCGATCATCGAACAGCATCGGCCTCCAGCATCGTCTTCTGAGCTGTGCGCTCTGCGTTGAAGGCGATTCCGAAGCGTGCCAGCCAAACAGAGCAAACACCAGCAGCCAGACCGGAAATCACGAAGAGCAGCATGTTCGAGACTTCTGTAGATTTCGCCCAGTGGAGGTCCCTGGCCAGGAGGAACGTCGTCAATCCCATGATCACCACGGCTTTACCAGCTCCATGTGGGCGGCAGGGGAGTAAGTGACTGGACACATGGTCACAATCAGAGCCAGAAGCATCTTACGCACAAGGCGCTCCACCTCCCACACCGAGCACTCTGTCTTGTAGGCCTGCGTGAGGTATGCCACATAGCTCTCCAATGGCTCTGTGCGGGACTGCACCAAGTGCACCCAACTCCCCACCCCTAGCAAAAAGCATCCCGCGATGCTCGCCAGGACCAGGGCAATGGCCACCTCCTTGGGAGGCCCCGGAGGAAGAAAAGCCCACTGGAGCTCTGCCAGCTTGTCATGTGGATCTTCAGGTCGAAGGCGGAACGCCACCAAGTACTTCCCGAATTGGGCGGTGAAGCCGGGAAGGAAGACGTTCGTGCCCACGACCATGGCCAGCTTTGAGCCCTTCATCACAGCAAGCCCGGCTACAAGCAAGGCCGGCCATGCGTACATTGCGAGGTGCGCGTGGTGAACGGTCTTGAAGCTGTCATCACCCGTCAGCAAAGGCAGCAAGCATTCGCCCGACATCTTTGGGCCTGAAGTTTGCCCTTGGGCAAAAGCCACCGGCAGAGACAGATACCCGATCACGTCCTGTGCAATGCCGCCGCCCCAGCTCTGCAAGTTGTAAAAGGCATGAGTCTGCATTGCAGCGGACATGGCGGTGCCTGCAACTGCTGCGAAAGCCATCAACTGGTTCAGCACAGTTTTGCTGGCTGCGCGCTTGCTTTTCGCCGATGTCACGCTTGCCACTGCTATTGAGAAGAAAACGAGGTTCTTGCCAAGGTAGATCGATATGTACTGCACCACCTCCCGGGGTGCCGCGGACCATGTGGCGCACTCCACGCACTGAAGGACATTGGTGTCCCCGCGGGCATAATTTTCAGCGCACTCTGTGCACCCGAGACTCTTGTAGCCTTTTGCGCACATTGGGACCACCACCTTCGCAGGTTCTCCGGGTCCGTCACTCGCATTCAGGTCCCCACCAGGACAGGCCGTCCTCCCACAGCCGTGCACCGATGCAGCTCTGCGTAGCCCGAAGCAACCACCATGCCCTCAGTGTATAGACAGCCACCCTCGTGGGCAGCGCCGTTTGTCATGAGTAGATGGCCCTGGAAGGTTCCATTTCCAGCGACATATGCCAGTCCACCCTTTTTTCTTGACGAGCAGCCGCTCAAGCTGAAACTCAGGCCCTCCGTGAAAAGACTGCCGTTGGCGAGGAACAGCCCGCCCCCCTTTAGGTCTGCAAAGGCATTGCGGATTTGCAAGAATCCATCAGCAGGAAGGCGTAAGTCGCCATTTACGATGGCCACTCCTCCACCTTGGGCGGAACTCGCTCCAGAAATGTCCAGCTTTGCCTTGGAGATGTTTAGAAACTGCTCGACCAGCAAGGCTCCTCCGTCATCTCCTGCGCTAGTGTTTTGGATCTGTATGATGGAGCCGGGGCCTATGTCCGCCTGTCTTGTGTAGATTGCTCCTCCGTGTCTGGCTGCCTTCGTCCGCATCAGCGACACCGTGCTGTTGATACTGTGCAAGTAATCACTCTTTATCGCACCCCCATGCTCTGCGTCCACGTCATGGACGGTCAGGTTTCCACGATCTGAGACTTCCAGCATCATGGCATCGATTGCGCCTCCGTTCTTAGCGCTTGCCCCCAGCACGGAGACAGAATTGCAAATCTTGATGGACTGGCCACGGATGGCACCTCCAGAATCGGCCGCTGTGGTGTTACTCATGAATAGTGACCCGCCCGAAAAGGTCATGGGATACCAAGTCCAGATTGCACCTCCTGCCGACCTAGCTTGCGCGCGAGTAATCAACGCATTGCCCCCGGACATGTTGAACTGATTGGTCCAGATGGCGCCTCCCATCCTCGATTTTGCGATGTCAATCGACATGCTGCCACCAGAAATGTTCAACGCATCGGAATAGATTGCGCCTCCAGCCTCCTTCGACAGCGCTTGACTAATCGACACATTGCCGCCAGACATGTTGAACTCCTTGGTGCAGATGGCACCTCCATTTGATCTGGCGTCTGCGTGACTGATTGACATGCTACCGCCCGAGATGCTCAACGCATCGGAACGGATTGCGCCTCCAGCACTGTTCAAAGTCGACCTATCGAAAGCTGTCGTGTGCACAAGAGACATGTTGCCGCCAGACATGTCAAACTTGTTGGTCCAGATGGCACCTCCATCGTCGTATGTGCGTGTCTGTATGATTGACATGCTTCCGCCGGAGATGCTCAACAAATCGGAAAGGATCGCGCCTCCAGATTTCTTTGCCTTGATCGAGACAATCGACACGGTGCCGCCTGACATGTCGAACTTGTTGGCCTGAATGCCTCCAATTCCGAAAGAGCTCACGTCAGCAATCAACATACTTCCGCCAGACATAGCCAATGAGCCGGCAGAGATGCCACCTCCTTCTGCGTACAGCGCTGAGATTCTGCCACCAAGCACCTCCAAGCCGACTTTCACGTTCCAGATGACATAGCTTCCAATGTCTTCCTCTGTATGGAATCTTGTTGAAGTTTTTCCACGGCGTGGGCCTTCAGCCTCGCACTTCACGGCCTCTGCCTTGCCGCCCAGCAGGCGGAATGAGCCTTCAATGGAAATAACATATGCCGTTTCGGTATACGTTCGCCTTACCTGGCAGCTTGCAAGCTGCAAGCTGCCATCGAGCTGTTGGAGAGAACCTTGGATGGCCACGACTGCACCCGGGCCGTGTCCCTGAGAAGTGCAGTTCTCAAATCGAAATTCTCCGCCTCGAATCACCACATTGCCAAGAACCACTGCTGCGGCATCTGCCACCTGGGAAGATGTGACCCACTGCTGCGCATGGCAGTCCTGGAAGACCACGGATCCACCAAGCAGAAAGACGTCGCCCAGGATGCCAATGCAAGGCTTGTCAAATGTAATATTGGGACTGGCCCTGAAGGTCATGTTGCCTTGGAAAGTGACTCTGCCGCGGAAAAAGAGAGGTGCTGCCAGCCGGACTTGGGCACCGTTGCCCGTAATGACGCACGGTCCCATAGCCATTGTCTCTTTGCTGATAAAATATGTCACAGCAGAGAGGTTTAGCTCTCCGGCTGTGCAGTCGGGAAAGGCCCGCCAGGCGGCCTCAGCAGCGCGTTGCTCTTCTACTTCGCGAGGCTTCTCAGAACCCATGGAACGGTCCTCCAAGATGGGGGCCAGCGCTGGTCGGAACGTCGCCTTCTTCCACCTCGTTTGGCTGCCGGCCGCCTTCATGAAGCTCCTGCCGAGTGCGTCCCCAACGAACTTGCCTTGGGGCACCTTTGCGCGCAGCAAGGACCTCTTCGACCCGGGAGCAGTCGTCTTAGCAGCTGACAGGGCCTCCTCCTCAAGTTCTTGCCGCCTGGACGGCTTCAAAATCAGCCTCGTTTTTCTGTGTTGGTCAATTGGGTCAGCCTTCACAGCATCCTCGCTAGACTTCTCGTTGTTCTGCAGCTGCTCCGGAGCATTGATCTGACGCTAAAGCGAATGCTAGGCAC